GCATCTCTAAATTAGAAACAAATTATTTAAGAATGAAAAATCAATTGCTTATTAACACAGACCAACTGCATTTAAAAATACATCAATTGAAAGAGGTGGCAGCCACTCACATATACCTAAAATGCAGAATTTGGCTCAAACACTTATAAAATGTTACTAACAAGAGTAAATATATAGTTCAGAAATACAAAGTAGAATATTTCAATCTGTAAAATATTCAGTCTTTGCATTAGTTAACTAAAAAATCCAAATACTGCTATGTTGTCATTCATGATTTTATAGATCCTCTGTTTTAAGCTAAGAAAAAATTAAATGTATGAACATTTGTATGCAAACATATACATGTACTATCCATTCAACAACAAAGGAAAAACATTTTTCATATTAAGGTGGGATCTTCAAAAGTACCAGGGTAATTTCAGAACAAAAGTGTCAGTGAAAGTCACAAAAATACTTCCTATTAAATCAATAGACCTATTTCTGTCTCATTTAAGTCAATGGTAAAACATTCACCGATTCATCCAATCAGGATCAGGTCCAGAGAAGTAACTGTATAAATGTAAACTATGTATGTGAATAAGACTTTATGGTACCCAATTCGTCCTGCTGTTCCTTACTTGTACTTTTTTACTGGATTGTTGGATTATTTGGTCCAACATACCTGTATGCTTACCATGGTGGTGTTTGGGACCAAATTACGCAGACCAGCAAAACCACTTTGCACTGGTCTGCTGCTGGAAACCAGCTCAGTGACGATTAGCCTAGCATTTTATAGAAATACAGAAAATGAGAGTTGGAAGGGATCTCAGGAGGTCACCTAATCCAACCCCCTGCTCAAAGCAGGACCAATCCCAACTAGATCATCCCAGTCAAACTTTGTCTATCCAGGTCTTAAAAACCTCCAAGGATGGAGATTCCACCACCTCTCTGGGTAACCTGTCCCAGGGTTTTACTACCCTCCTAGTGAGAAAAGTCTTCCTAATATTTAACCTAAACTGCCCTTGCTGCAACTTGAGACCATTGCTCCTTGTTCTGACATGTCACCACTGAGAATAGTCCAGCTCCAACCTCTTTCGAACTCCCTTCAGGTAGTTAAAGGCTGCTATTAAATCCCCTCTCTGATTCTCCAGCGGGAGAAAGTTGATGCCAAGGCTCCCTTTTATAACAAAGTCAATGGAATCTGTGCTCCTAAGCAACTCAAAGCAAAAAGAAAAGTTTTGTTTGCAACTGTCTAGTTGGTCTAACAAAAAAGATATATCTCTACACCACACTGACTGCCTAAGCAACTCAGGCACTTTTGAAAAATCTCACTTGCCATGAATACTTCTTCTTGATCTGGAGACCCTCACTCAAACTTTAAATTCTAGCAATACGAACAGATTGCAGGATTGGACTTAAAATCTGCTCCCTTTGAGGTCACTTGACCATGCTCCTGATCAGTAACAGCTCCATCAATGACTTCAGGGGGAAGAGATTTAGTTTACAGTGATCAGGTAGCATTTATGAAACAATGAAACATAAGATACCAGAAATATTAAATATTTCTATGACAAATATATTGACAAGCACAATGAAAAGTGATCATACACTATTATAAAAGCAGTCCTTGCAAATGGTACATTAATCATTTCACCCTCTAAAAGGATAATTCACTGTGTTTTATCTGAAAACAGTAACTATTTGTCATCATTGCAAAAAACGAATCAAATTGAACTACATAATAAAATTGAACTAACTCGTTCAGCTGTATCAACTCATGCTGGTTTTAGCTATGTGGAAGATGTACGTAGCTGAAGTTTAATTTGTAGACACTTCTCGGTGCCACAAACACCCAACAACAAAGAATTGCCCCTGGCTTTGAAGAACTTAGAGCTAGTTCCTCCAGCAATTCCTTTCTAGGCTAAAGATCTTGGGACGTCATTACGAGTGTTGCTCCAAAATATCCTAGCGTTGCTCTTCACAGCTTTCTAGGTACAAATAGGGGGTTTTCCCCCCTTCTTCTTTTGCGTGTGCGAGAGAGAAGGCGAAGGAGCCCTGCAGCTGTTGCCGGGTCTGTGTAACCGGGGGGCGGCTGCTCCTCTCTGGGTTCCTTCTCCTAGCAGCCCTGCCTGCTCAGCCCCGCACCGGGCGAAGCGGGGAGACATCCGCCTGCCCCGTGCGGGACTTGCCCCGGGAGCCGCTCTAGGCTCTGAGCTGACAGCAGCGCTGGGCTCTTCCCGCAGGGCCGGCCCCGGCCGCGGGGCAGCCTCCGTTCCCGCCCCCAGCCCGCCCGGGGCAAGAGCCCCCCGGGGCC